AAAAAAAAAAAAAAAAAAAATCCGAAAACTATGTTATGCAGAAAAAATCTGAAAAATAAACAGGACAACTTTTGCCTCAGGGTCACATCGAAATTCTTCACCAAATTTAGAATAAAAATTAAAATTTAAAAATATATTTTTAAAATTTTTATTTTTTTTCCCCGGCCGGGCAAGTGACCCCGGGCCACGCTGGTAGCCCAGGCAAAATGGGAATGAATCTTCTGCTAAAAAAAAAAATAATAATAATAATAACAATAATATTTACCAAATGGCAAATTAAAAGAAAAGAAAAGAAAAAAAGTATTAATTTTTCTTAAGTTTTCTTCTTTTTTTTTTCGGCCCGGCCAGGCAAGTGGTCCCAGGCCACTCTGGTGGCCTGGAAATTATCCTCCCCCCCCCACAAAAAAAAAAAAAAAAAACAAAGGTATGGGCGGGAAAGAAAAGAATAGGGGTCGGGGTTTGTGTGTGACTTCCCCTTCATGACATGTTGGAGTACTGCCCATTCAAAGCAACCTCAGTTTGGGTTTGGGTTCGGGTTTGGGTTTGGGTTTTGGGCTTTGGGTTTGGGTTTCAGGTTTCGGGTTTAGGCCCTTGAGGGTTCAAAGCTTTGGGTTTTGAGCTTGGAGTTTTTGGCTTAGGCCCTCTAAGGTTTAGGGACTTTCAGTTCTTGGCTTTGGGTTTGGATTTCAAGTTTTGGGTTAGGCCCTTTAGGGTTTAAGGGTTTTGGCCCTTTCGAGTCTAGAGTTTAGGGTTTTGAACTTCGGGGCTAACTTTTTATATGGCAATGTGAAAGTCGCTGTGCACGACTTCCCCTTCATGCCATGCACTTGGACTACTGCCCATGCAAAGCAACTTGAGTTTGGGTTTGGGTTTAGGGTTCAGCGCTTAGGGTTTCAGGTTTTTGGGGTTAGGCCCTTCAGGGGTCAGGGTTTAGGGTTTTGGCCCTTAGGGTTTAGGGCTTTGGGATTTGGGATTTGGTTTTGAGTTTCAGGGTGTCGAGTTTTTACGTGGCAATTTCAAAGTTGTCGTCTGTGACTTGCCCTCCATGCCGTGATCTTGGACTACTGCCCATGCAAAGTGACTTGAGTTTGGGTTTGGGTTTAGAGTTCAGCGTTTAGCGTTTCAGGTTTTGGGGTTAGGCCCTTCAGGGTTCAGGGTTTAGGGTTTTGGGTTTTGGGTTTAGGGTTTAGGCTTTTGGCCCTTTAGAGTTTAGGGTTTTGGGATTTGGGACTTGGGGTTTGGTTTTGAGTTTCAGGGTGTCGAGTTTTTACGTGGCAATGTGAAAGTTGCCGTTCGTGACTTGCCCTCCATGCCGTGCGCTTGGACTACTGCCCATGCAAAGCAACTGAGTTCTCGCGCACTGCTGAACTTGCACCACTCCACTCCGCCCTCGAAGGCAACAACATAATCAGCTCCCAACGACTTAAGTGAAGCGTTCCTGATCCTGTTCCTAGCCCTGAAAGTGCACCAGATACATTCAAATTTCAAAGGCTAAAATATAATCAGTTCCCAAAAACTTCCAGCGAAGCGTTCGTGATCCTGTCCGTAGCCCTGAAAGTGCGACGGATACTTTTGTAGCGAACGAAAAGGCTTTGACTGACGGAAGCTCGTTGTCCGGGTGAACTGTTCCGGCTGCCCTTTTATCAAATTCACCAACGAAAATTTGGACCACTTCTTGATTTATACGTGCTACTCTCGCGCGGGGACTATGCTAATCAATCTTCTCTGTATCGTTCCATTTTTATTTTATTTTTTTTGCTAAATTCTTAGATACAATTCCAATCTAAAAATTCAATCCAAATACATACTAAATTTTGCTCTTCACAGAAATTAATGGATCTGCGGGACTGACTGTTCCGTTTGCAACATTTTTGTATCAAATTGGCAGTTTTGTTTTGTTTTGTTTTGTTTTGTTTTGTTTGAAAGGGTGACGGCCGTGAGATATCATCATTAAACTGACCGTCCCAGGTAATTCATAATTATTTGATTCTGTGCATCTGCTCGTGTCTCTAGATTCGGACATTTTATACTATGTTACCTGATCGGACGTCTGGGCCCCCCTGACCGTCAGGAACTGTCCGATCGGACAACCAGTCCGTCGTCTGCTCGGGGCCCTCCGTCCAGGCGGACCCCTGTATTTCAAAACAGGTATACCCACTGAGATACCCCTGTTGATAATTTGCAGTTAGTAAGCTGCATTGTCTTTATTATTAAAAAAAAAAATTGGGACTTTGTATTTTTTCTGGTTTGCTGTGTGACGTCTGCCCTCCCGCCTCCCCCATTCCGTCCACCCCTTGTTCTTTGTTGTCGCTAGCTATCCTGTGTCTTGTTGTCTTGTGCCGTTGTGTCCACCCGCCTCCCCCATGCCCTCCAGCCTTTGTCGCTTGCCTTTTTCCGTTGTTCCTACTTGTCGTTCTTTCCTTGTTGCCTCATGCCCTTTCCTTCCCCGTTTTTCGTCTGCCTTTCCCTTGTTGCCTTGAGCTGTTTGTCCACCCTTGCACCTCCCCTTTGCCCTCCATCCTTTTTCCATCGTTGTTACTTGCCGTCCTTCGCCTCGTCGCCTCGTGCCTTTTCCTTCCCTGTCGTTCATCTCCTACTCCTTTGTTGCCTGAGCTGTTTGTCTGAACACCTGCCTCCCCATGCCCCCCAACCTACGTGCACAGACCTTTCGCGCGTGATTACGTGCACAGACCTTTCGCGCGTGATGGGGACGCTCTAGGTTCGGTGTTGTGTATGCTGTATGCCTTCGCCATCTTTCATCCTTTTTTTGTACTGTCTGGCCACTGGGTCTACTGGAAAACCGTTCAAGACCGGTTTGACGAGTACCGCTAGTGTCTTTTTGCCTCCTGAGATCCACCCCTGGTACTCGTGCCGTGCCGAAGGAATACAAATGAGCGTCGGAGATCGATGGTGCAAGTTATGCGCCTTAAACACACTTTCAAATGGTGTACACACACACACACACACACACACACACACACACACACACACACACACACACACACACACACACACACGTACACACACAGGCACGCATGCACATGCACACCCACACATGCACACGCACACACACAAGCTTCTGATTATGGCATACTATTCTGACTTATCCTATGTACTTGGCCTGGATAAATGCAAGAGCTTCTCCTCTTACGGTGGATTGAACATGTACTGTCACGTCAATATGTTTTCCGACCAGAAGTACGAGTCTGCCTTGAGTTTGTTGTCTGTTCCCTTTGGTGCTATGATTTTAATATGTTATTAATTAAAATTAACCTGAATTAAACTAAGTAGGTCATCGTTTCGGGTTTGTCTTTGTGACCGACCTTTTGTTTCTTTTTCAGGAGCCCAGGTCGTGCGGTGGCAGTCGCTGCCAGGGCGCGGTTTCTTGCCCTTTCCTTCCGCATAGTGAGTATGGTCAGCTCCCCACCCAAGGCGTGCCAGACTCAGGTGCGGATTACTCCTACTCATCTTCCCCTTCCAGGCTGTTCTCGTTGACATAAACCTTCTACACAGAGCCCCAGGCGACAATCGGACAGCTCTTCCTAACAAAATAGCTAGTCCCGCTGTGCCCGGCGTCTAGGGCAGTTGGCCAGAGCACACTCACAGGTGGACGCATTCTGCGCACGAGCTGAGCCATAGCTTGGTAAACTTTGTGGTGAGTGCCTCTTGCAAGGGACATCGGCACCCTCCACGTGCTGAGCCGATGAGCCTCGAACCCTGGACCATGGTGTGACGTTTTCACTACGTTCTTCCCTCCCTTTCCCTTTTTTCTGTGGATCCTTTTCTAGAAAGTAAATTTCAGGAATTTGAGAAATGTTATGACCTGTCATCACACGGACTGAAACAGACAGCCGATTTCTGAGTCTTGCCGTGGAATGCATGCCATACTAAGTTCCCCCGCCTGCTAAGTCTGCTTGTGTGTGTGTGTGCTGGACTGCATGTCTGTCTGAATGCTGGCTGACCTGTGTGAGTGTGCTGCGTGCCTGTCTAAGTGACTTGAGTGTGTGTGTGGCCCCGTCGGGGTCGTGGATGTGGGGGGCAGGACCGGTAGGGCCGGTACTTACCGGTGGCGTGACATTTGAGGGTTGCAGCCAGGAAACACTCAGGTGGCGACGATAGCGGCCCTGCGGCCCTCGGTGGGTAGCGGAAAAACACTCGAGTAGGCCGGTAAGTCCAAAATGGGGTACTTGAGGGCCAGAAGGCCGAAACTTGAAGCACTTGAAAGTCGAGCAGAAAAAGACAAAGTTGGCACTTTTAGCAGTCCGGTAGGCTGGGGGGTACTAGTAGGAGTCCAGGGCCTGTCGGGGGTACTTCAGAATCTGCAATGATGTTCCCGCCTCTCGGCAGGGGAAGTCTCCGGAGTGTGGGGAGGCCGGTAGGCCAAGAGGCACAGCCGAAGAGTCACGCGGTGCGGTACATATCCAGGCAGAGCCAGAGGCTCCGCCTGATTTGCTGGGCACACAAGTTTGGAGCACGGCATTTGGAGCAGCGGCTGGGAGCAGCGCTGGAGAGCTGCGCTAGCAAGCAGCAAGCCGCGCTTGGCTAGGGAAGGAGAAGGACAGCGGAGGAGGAAGAAGACGAAGGAGGAAGAAGAAGAAGAAGAAGGAGGAAGAAGAAGAAG